TTGTGCTGATCCTCCCGCTTTCTGTCATTACTACAGACTTCTTTTCATCGCTCAGCGCGATGAGTACGAATGAATGTATTTCACTCCATGGTTCTTACTTCCTGCTGAAAGGCCTTCCAGGAAAAGCGGCTCTTTCAGAAGAGTTTTTGCATGTTGATGGACCGTGCGATCGAGCTAAATTCTAGGATTAATTTTTTTTTCTGAGCGGATGTTGGCAATGCCAAAAAAATTGTGGAACAGATGGCTTCTGAGTTCGGTCGTTAATAGTAGGCAACCCCTTGCATCTCTGTTTCCACTTTCTTGCGCTTTTATAAGACTTAACTCATTCCCTGAACAAAACTTACCAATATGCATCTATTCAACGATAAAAAGCTGCGGAGTACATTAAAAATGTAAAAGTTTCACTTCCTGATAAGTTCTTTGCTCTTTTTCTGGCTATCCTAGGGCCGCTCATGCGAAAAAATATCATTTTTATGCTCCACGTAATGTCCCGTTATAAAATGTAACCTGTTTTGGAAAAGCGCTCCATCTCCTGAGTGACTTTCCTGGTTAGATCAGTGGAGGGCAGTGATTCAATTAAGGGACGGGAACTTGAGGTATGTTGGGAACCATCATATTCAGATCATTTCAGCGCGTTTATGTGGATCCAAGAAGATAGAAATGATATCCCCGCTACGCACTCGGATGCATCATGTCAAATTGAGAGGGGTAAAAAAGAAATAGGAATCGGGCGAGTTTCACATCACTAATAAAACACACTGCCTGCGTCATAACTTTGAAGGATCGTCAGATTCTCTGTTGCTCTCAAAAAGCAAATCCATTAGGCTAATCAACATACCCTCTTAAAAAAAAAACGAGAAGAGCGTCGGGTGCAGACCATACACCACAAGTGACGACGGCCTCCAAGTAAATCTGGTTAGAGTGGTTCATAGTGATAGCTGATTTTGGTAAATGATAGTTGTAATTAGTGACAACTGATAGAATACAACTGCAACAGGCTAATCATTTCATTGGCAGAAAACATTTACATTTTGTGGAGGCCGTCGTCACTTGTGGTGTATGGTCTGCACCCGACGCTCTTCTCGTTTTTTGAAAGGGAGTACCGGCAGTCAGACTTTGCGCTAGCCAATCGCGCGATTGGCTTCGTGTACCTTCTGGCCTCTGTTCAACTTCTAGGTGGAATGTTAGCTGTTGCGTTTGCTATACTAAGCCTATCCTTTTATCTGTTAGCTATCATCTATAATGTTATCAAGAGTTCAGTATTGACAATCTTGTTTCGAGGCTCAAATCGCTCGCGAGAACACCGTCCTATTTATCAGTTTTGCTTTCACTAGCAACTAGTTCCGGGTTGAAAAATGTTGAATCTCAACTCGTTCCCCCTTGTTGTTGTCCTGGACACTGGGCAGTGATTCAGCAAGATACTCTCGGCTGTTGCGATTAAGTATGCTTCAGGCTGTCAGTCAAAACACGATTACGCGGTGCTCTCGTGAAATTTGTTTTGCTAGTCAGGACCGCCTATCGGATAATCCTAGGAATAACATCTCACTTTTCTGATCTTGAGGCCTATCATGAGAAATATTGTGTGTTGATTTTAGAAGCTTGATGCTCAGCTTTGTTGGTGGTAGGATGCAAAATAGTATTCTCGGCGTTCTTTCACTCTTGGAATGCGCCACATATTTGACATCTAAAGATCGCAGAGGCATTCTTAAGAGTTTGACCAGAAATATTTGTATGCCCTAGAGCAGGTTTAGAACGTACTAGCTGTATCCAGAAAGACAGAAGACTTGACGGGACCGGACTGGTTTCTGATCCAGAACCGTACATGTCATAGCGGCGACTTTGTCTTTGTACGGTTGTAATTTATGATCTGTAATTTGCGCACTAAGCTTGGTGCGTTTTTACTCTCCACTGTTTCGTTCTGATGTGCTAAATGTGCGTACTTTATTGACAGTCTACCACAACGCAAAACGAATTGGTTTCGAGCAATGTTGTTTTGCATTTGAAAGGGCGCTGATCAACGAAAACAACGAGTGCTGATATAGTACATCTATCTCGGAAAGCTTGTTCATTTTGCTATTTTTAATGCGGCTTTTTTGACAGCTAGCGGGAGCTTCAGCTCGTGCAGAGATTCAGCTTTGTGTGACCAGGGAACGATTGTTAGCATTATATTATAGGTATTGGTATAGTGCAAAAACTGCTTACGCGAGAAACGTGAAAGTTGGCGTGAGATGATAATTTTTGTCAATTCAATTCCAGAAGCGGAGATTGTCTCATGTGTTGGAAGGAAATGTTTCCCTTTTGTTACAGTGTGCATTAATATTAGTTTTTGTCGCCATTAAGTTTAGCTGTGAATCACTTTACATTTATCGTTTATTTAAAAATCCAAGAAAATTGGTGAAGGCGTGAAACATGTTTTGCGAAGTAGCATCCACATTGTCCTACTTGAGCAATTACTCAGCCCATTTCCATGCTGCCTTCCGTGGCTGACATTTCAATTTTTCTGGAACCTATTTTTGAGCTCCCTTCTTAATCACTTCTGATTAAGATCTTTCAAACGCCCAACAATATAGAGAATCGACCAGCAGATAGGCAAGGGCACGCTCCCTCACTCCACGGTCTGCTTATAGTTCACTCTATCGAGAGGTTGGCTTTTTTAGTTGAAGATGACCCACACTCCAACTACCCCTCAACTGGCAATCTCAGTGCTATACCCAGCGCCACTAAGCGTGAATATGGACGAACTAGCCGCCTTTTGCTAGAGCATGCCCGACTTGTTAAAATAATGGAATGTAGACATCTACGTAGAGTTGTAACGATTTTAAAATATTTAATTTGTATCTCGTGTGCTTTGAGCTCGAAACAGCTCCGCACACGATCTGACATCGTCATGTTCCTTCTGATCTCCCTTAGTTCCTTACAGTGATCATCCAGCTTATTCACCAGGGTTCTGGACTGCGTGAAGTGTACTAGCAAATCTCCGAGGAGCAGTAGCCCAGCGTGAACGATTCGGGAGTTCTGATAGCAAAAGCCAAACCTCATTCTAGTCCGACCCTTCAGAGATATTGGTGGAGCACGAGAGTGACCATGCGCTGGGAACCGCCGCCTAGTAATACTAGAGTCACTGAAGAAGATCAACATCTACAGCGTAATGGCGGCGCATTCAATTTGAAAGTAAAGCAAGACAAAGTCTGCTTTTTTCCTGAGGTCGTTCGACCCACCTTGCGGAGAATATTCATAAAAAATTAGAGACTCTCAAGCTAGCCGATCTTCCACTTCCTCTGTGTGGCCCTATCCTCGTGCCAACAAGAGGCAACTCAGTTTGACCTCTAGCGCTCTTCCCCAGGGAGGAATTTTACGCTAAGTGACATGACCTCAAACTCGACTTCCGATCTTTCTTCGATCAATAGCTCCTGGATTTCTAGAGATAAGACAGCGACAAAATTTCCCTGTATAGGCAATACATTGTAGATGACAGGGATGTATGTTTGGATGAGCAAAGACTCCATATGAAAAAGAAAAAAATTTGAATTCAAAAATACCCAAAGTGATTCACTAATTATGGGACAACCTAATAATTTCGTATAACTCGAATAGGACCCTAAAGTATTTATATAAGACAATCGGCATCATTAACGAGATGACAGCGTTTAGCGTGGAAGCTGTATCCTTCTTGGGATACGTCCCGATTTTTCTTCCACTCACCCAGGTAAATGTGTTAAGTTCCATGGATACTTTCCGAGACAAGGACTAGATCATATTGGTAGACGCGATTCAAACGCTGATTACATAAGGGAACTACAACTGCAAAATGAAACTGCCAAGGAAGTTGTGCAGTCGGTTGGAGGTATAGTGTCACATAACTTGTGCAAGCATCCGAGCATTCAGAGTTGCAGTAGAGTGCTCTCGCTCTCCAGGTAGGTCATGAGCTCTCCTCTGCTGGAGTGACAAAATTTTGAGAGCGCTACCGCTAATCCATGGGGATTCTGAACTCTCGTACGCTAGCTTTTTTCGCTTTACTTCCAGCCGACTTCGTGATTTCCTTGGCTGGTTAGTTTCTGCGGCTTTAGTTTCCTACATTTGTAATTAGCGTTTAAAGCGTATCGATATATCTGGGCCTTAATTCGAAAGGAGGTTAAAGTTCAAAGGGATGTTTGAATGCCTTCCCAAAGTTAAATCGGTGTCATTCAAATGGAACAGTTTATAGTTCCATTTGAACAGAAGCACTGACGTAAACATTGGCTGGTCTTTGCAGATGATTGTATAGATCACAAAAATCGGATCATTGAATGCAGATCATTGTATATGTCAAGAAATCGGAAGACTGAAGGCTTCGTTGGTTGAGGGGTTTCGATTTGGGTTTTGATTTTTCAATCGCGTATTAGGTAGGGATGTGCCTAGGCGACTCCTCTACGATTATGTAGATTGAAAACATTCCACGAATGCTGTAAATGGCTACTCCCGACTACTTTTCTTTCCATTATACCTACCATTCCAGCTAAAAATTCTGATCTTTGGTCTAGGGTTGGTCCTTGACTTCTCATTGATTTCTCATGTTGCCTGCAGGTGAAACGGTGGTACACTTCAATCGTCTGGTGCTTTGCGAAGTGACGGCGAACGTGATGAGCAACTGCTTCAAGATTCTCGGAATACGTGAAGTTCCCCGAATGTGATCAGCCGCACTCCCGAAACGGGAAAAGCACAACAGCGGCTGGCGGCTGTCACAACGTTCACGCCGAGAGCGGTGCTGTCGACCGTTTCGATCGCCGTTCGCCCATGTGATCGCTCGGTCACACGTGCACCTGCTGATTGCGTGTTGTTCCTTAGGTTTTTTGTTTAATCGAAATCTCACTTTTCTGCAAGTTACATCGTAAATATCGCTCCCGTGTGATTTCCGTTTCGTTGCGATTGAATGGTTGGGTTTTTGTTGTTGATCAGCTTAGAGATAAATCTGTTGTTATTGACTGTCTTTTGTACAAATCCGCTGTAGATCAAGTCGATAAATGGATGTGGAAGTGACACTAAGCTCGTCGCCTTCGTATTCGTTCACGATTTCTGCCAGCTGTGATCGCGGCGATCGTACGACAATGGAAGATCGAATGTGTGTTCATCAGGGGTTCACAAAACATGGCATGGTCAGTTCCCCTTTCATTCTTGTCAGTTATTACAATTCCTTGTCATTGATTACTTTGAATAATGTTTTTGCGTTTATTTGCACATTCTTCCAAAGATTTATACTTTTTGAGTAGAAGGGAATGTCACAGTGTCAGCTGATCGTTGCTGATAGGGCGTAGAAAATAGACGGCTCGCCTTGCAATAGTGAGTTGCAAACGGGGTCAACAGTGCTTTCTACAGTTTTGGATGAGGGGGATCGTATTTGAGTTTTTGGAGGGGGGGGTGGGTCGTATTTTGGGTTTGTGAAGGTCAAGAAGTGAAAGAAGGGAATCGTATAACATTTTTGGAAGTTGAAGGGATCGTGGCGGTAGCGGAAGAGGTCAGAAACAAATACTATAGTGGCAGCTATGATGATGAGGGTGATGGTAGCGGTGGGAGCGGGGATCCTGTTGGGGGACTTTCCTAAGGCTGGGCGGTGGTGTGGGGTCTTCTTGAAGAGGGAGGGGTCGTTACATGTTCGAAATCTGCACACCCACGGCTGATCCTGGTTGCGACTCGCTCAGGCCATGATCGTCGGTTATTTACAAAATACCTACTTACTGTTTTACTTTCGTGTTACGGTATGAGTAGCCTTTAGACCCCGGAACAAAAAACTGTTTGGTGGAATCGATATGCTTTTTTCTGCATGTGCTGCAGTTCGATTGGGTTGGATGTGATTTTTATTGAGAAAACATCGAAATGAATGCGCAGATTAGCAGCTGTTAGAAGCAAATCATACTTTACTTCGCTATATCCTGTAATACTAAAAATGCTGCTGTGAACATGGTTTCTGCAAACAGCACTTATTCAATACTTTTATTTTTTTCACCGCTGCCTTCTTTAAACAAAAACATACCTCAACCCT